CACTGCTTACATTAATTCTTCCAGCAAGGATTTTAAACCATCTAATGAAGGTACCATTATCCCAAACCTGTATGTACTTGAAAATGTACATCATCCATGAAGAATTTATTTTATAAAGAATATGGCTATACTACAAACTTCATACTTTGTTTTACTGTAGAAATGACAATTTATTCCCATCAACATTAGATCACTGCAGTTAAATTCAACAGTGAATCATACTGGGGGAGGGTTGCCTCAGTCCTATCAAAACATTACAGTTGTGTTATTATTTCATAGGGGAAGAACTACCTGAGATGAAATCTCAGCAAATTGTTCATATTGGATCATTACATCTGTGACATTGACTTGATTACAATTTGCCTTTCTTTAGTTTGTGATGTGCAAATGAAACTACCTAATTGGGGAGCTAAAGGAAAGTATAAATCCCAGCTGTGTAGGTAGAGTCACAGTTTTGTAGGTTTTTCTGATACATGCCCATTTTTGGAGGTGTATTCTTGTTCATTAGTCTCCAAGTTTAGGTGTGAGAGGATTTGCGCTGCTATATGCAAAACTTTCTAGGTCAGCTCTGATTATTCTTCCTTGAACTCCAACGAAATGAAGAGTGCTTTTAGGTGAATAAATCGTGTCCTTAAGTTTTATGTGTTGAGGGGAGGGGAGGCAGTGGTACCTAATAAAACCATTTTCTGCAGGTCACTTATAATTGTTAACATTGGCATCTAAACATTGATATGGTTAAAGTTTATTAAAGTAGCCATTCGCATTGAATTTAGGGTTAGATAACTTCTTATGGTTTTCCACAAAATATTTCTTAATTTCTTTGGTATGAAGAAGCAAGAACTAATTATAAAATTTGGTGCTGTGTTGAATCAGTTGAGCTAAGGAATGATAAATGTGTTCATAAACTGTTATGCACTGTTAATTTAAAAAATAAAAATGTGTATGTTGTTTAGTAATTAAAAAATGGTTTCTTTTATTTCAGGAGAATTTCAGAGTTCCATGTCCCAGCTGTTGATATTCTGGAGGAGTCATATGAAGTGTTCCCCACAGTCTCACCCTGTTGTACATCACTGTGAATGGCTCTCCTTGATTTTCATAGAGCAAGATGATGATATGTGGGAAGCTGCTAAAGCTTTATTACTCATTTATTTAAAATTTGATAGGTTAGTGTACATTTTATTTGACAGAACTATGAAGAATTGAAATCTAGTGAGGTTATTGTGATAAACATAACATTTCTATTGATTACTTCTGTCTAAAGAAAAAATATTTTTAATAATTAAAAAAACACCCCAGCTTCAGGACAGTGTAATAATGTGTGGTGTAAGAGCAGTTAACTTTGATAATTTGATTAAGTTTTTTTTGGATTGAAATGAGCGAGTTGTGCAACAGTTTCCTATTAAATACTTTATCATATCCTGTAATTCAAAATAATTGATTTAACAATCTAAAATAGTGATTAGACACAGATAAAAGACAAGACTCTTCTTTCAACACAGAGCTTGACAAGAATGGGATATTATAATTAAACTTCAAGAATTCAGGGACTTCTGGCAAAGTAGCTCTCTAAGGATTGGACCCATGTTAATTCTGGCAGGTTGATAAAAACTCCAATTGCTAACAACTGAAATGTGTTCTTCACAAATTTGTCCTGGATGTTCACTGCTTCATTGTTGTTTAAATTACCATACAAGGTGATATCCTAAATTAGAAAAGGTCCCTCAAGCTTCAAATGTGAAGATATTGCAAGTAGTATCTTAAATATGCACAACTCTTCTTAGACACCTAAATAAAATGAGGCCACTCTTTTCCAATGTGCTTAGCATCCTGAAAGTTAATTTATGTTCAGGTTTACAAAAATACTGGAATAACAATTCATGTACTGTAGGTAACTTTTTTTATTCCAGAATGTTTCCTAATGAGGAGTGCTGTTTAAGAAGGACTGCTTTAAGTGCTTTTGCTTCCTAAACTGTCTGATCTCCTAGCCTCACATGCCTTCATTCTTTCTCGTTCTAATATAAAAAACTTCTCTTTTTGTTTTTACTTTTTGACAAAAATCAAAAAGGAGCAAGAATACCATTTTCTTAACATGCCTATTTTTAAAAAACCCTGTAAACTTCAATTGAATTTAGTCCATTTCATGACTTACTTTTCAGGTTACGGCATGACGCTGTGGATAACTTAAGCCAAAAAGAGGAGGAAACCTGGAACTTCCGTACGCACGCCAATGGATATAATCCTCACTGTATCTTTTTATTTTTTCTAGAAAAAATTGCATTTGATTCCACAGTACTTTTAGATTTTTTGATTTCATCAGAAACTTGCTTTCTGGAGTACTTGGTAAGGTACTTAAAGCTTCTTAGAAAAGACTGGCATCAATTTGTACATGTCTGTGACCATTTTGATACCAAACATCGCATATTTCAATCAATTTCTTCTGTCAAGCCATGCAATCAAGAAAAACAAAGCGGTATGACTGATGAGAGTTTGCAAAATGCTTGTTGTAAACCAGAACCAGAGACTCCAGTATCTTTGGCTTCTTCTCACAATTACTTAGTGTTTACAACAGAGCAAGGTGATAATGAAGTTTCAGAGTATAACCAGTCTAACTCACTGATATGCAACAATAGTACATCTCTGCTGGGTTCTCTTCAAAGCCTTGTTAATTATGACAGCTCAGAAGACTCAGAATTAGAATCAGATGGAAAAGAGTCCTTGGTAAACACAAAGCATGTGGCTTTAAATAATGAGAGTGAGACAAGGATAAGGGCAGCTTGTTGCAGCTACACAGATTGTGAACCAAATACGCTCAAGTCTGAAGTGTTGTCTCTGAAACAAAAGGGATCTAATACCTCATCCTGTTTGACTTGTATGGTGTCTTCAGATAACATCGCTCCCCTAAGAATAATGCTTTGCAAAACAACAAAATGTTTGGAAGAACTGCAAAATGCTATTTCTAGGTTGCAGAGAAGAAATCTTTTCCCATATAATCCATCCGCATTGTTGAAACTGCTGAGCCACATTGAGAAGATAAGTAAGAACGTGAATCCACAATAATCCAAAGAAGTGCTCTAGTGACTTTTTTTTAACCAGTACACTAGGGAACATTTCCATGAGATTAATGACTTCTAAAGCTCGTGCCTCTTGCACCTGTCAGCGTATTTAACCTGAAACAGGATAAACATGTTTTTGGTTGACACCTTAAAAATCTCTAATTGCATTCAGTGATATGATCCATTACCTTAGGGTCCTAGGCTTATTCATGCTGTGTATGTCAGTGTACAGTATATAAGGATTAATTGTTAGGTATTCAAAATTTGATAATAAATGCCTAATGTGAAAGCATGTCAACGATATATGATACTTAAAGTATTGTCAATTATACTTAATGTCATTCCATATGTGAGGGCATTGCAGATTGGTAGTGATTTATGAACTACAGTGCAGCGTTAATACAACACTTGACTGCTTAGAGGTTGAGCTAAATAAAATATTTTAGTTGGGGACAGTTTTGGTGTTTATACTGTGTAGTCTGCATTGGTTCTCTGCTCTAAGTGGACGTTCAAATGTGCTAACACAATTGCAATAATCCATGCCACACTTTTCTTGGCTGAAGTGCTTAACTGATGTCTAGGATGTACTTTCTCTTAGTTTTTACTGTTTGCCTGATTTAATCAGTGGCATTACCATTTCACTAAAAACTGAATTGAGTTGTTCATAGTATTTTATGGTATATTGCTTTAAAAGGAAAGATAGATGTGAGACTAATGCATATGTTGCCTACTTGCAGAACATTTTAGTGGAGCATTATATCTACAATCAATGCAGAAGTGAAATTCGAACAAAGTTCCTCACATCCATTATGTATTTTATATGAGTATAAAATATATACTTAATAAATTTGTTAGAAACAGAGAACTAGAAAATAAGTGTCTGCAATGCAGCAAGATGGATATTGAATTTAAATTCTTATACTTACATCTTTTATTAGATCTAATTTGAATAACCTGAAAAGTATGTGTCTAAGACCTTGCCTGTGGAAAGGCAGGTTTAGTTCAGAACAGGATCCAGACCAGTGTGTGCACTTAGCAGGAAGCCACCTAATGCTGGTACACTTAACGTGCAGCTTGTAATGATCTTACAAGGGTTAGGCAATGGGAAAGTACTGACAACAGGAACTGCTGTAAAAAGCTCAGCCCTCATCAGAACTGTAAGAAGCAGTTTTCCTTTTAGGATTGTCTCTTGAAGGTAAGTACTGTATGCTGATTGAGAACCGAGTAACTTCTGGCTTCCTTTTAAGTAGCAGGTGTTAAATTAAAATAGCTATTGAGTTAAGACAAACTGTCTCTGGAGCAGGTGACTCTGAGCCCCAAATCTCTGTGGTCATCTTCTAGATTAGTCTTGAGCTCTGAACTGGTGAAACACTATTAGAGGGGAAGAAAACTAGGTGAAGTTTATTGGGTAATTTAGCTGGAAATTACGGTGATCTCTGGAGACACTTGAATGATACGAATTCTCAGATGGGAAAGTTTGAACCTCAGTCTTATTCTTTCAGGATGGCAGCTGTAATCACTTGGTTATACAGAAAAGAGTGATCCTTTTCACTGACATGTAGGAGTTACGAATATTCTGTGTGTTGTTTGTGCTTTGGTTTCTTCCTGAGATGACTTCTGTGCATGGGAGTGGGTGAGAATGCAATGAACGGAAGCATTTCCATTTGTGCTGAAAGTTACTTTAGTTTAAAAATTAACCTCCGAGGTGTGCAGGGTAGAAGAGTGCCTGGTTTCTCTTTGCTGTTTGAACTTGGTTATGCTCTAGATGCTGAGTTGCCCATTTCTGTGGGGACCGAAATGCCTCTGGGTGTGTTCAGAGATGCAACTGTAGACAACTTGGGAACTTTTCAGTGCAAACAAGGGAAGTGCCTTTGGCAAGGCAGTTGGGCAAGAGTTTCTCAAGAACGTGATTTTAAACATAGGTAGGTACTTATATTTCAGTGAAATCCTTTCCACTATCCTCACTTCTAATCTAGCCTTTGCTGACTAATTTTTATTTTAACTGAGTAACTTCCTTGTTTTCACTGAACAGAGTATAGTTCAGCATTTCTTGGTCTATACTTTGCCAGTTGGAAGTATCTAAATTACAACAGTATTTCTCAGACACTGATAAGATAAACAGGGTGAGAAAGTTAGAATGGGGAGATAATTTCAGTTTTGTTAAGTGCTAATCTTCTTGTTTGTCAGTGATTACAACTATAAAAATGTTTTTGAAGTAAAAGTTTAGACATCTCAAAATAATGTGTAGAATTTAGAAGAAGTGTAGGAGCCCTAACTTCTGGTTTTGTTTTTTTTTTTTTTTTTAATACAAATCCAATTGCACTCCAACTGTATTTAATTCTTACAGGCATGAAGTTGATTGTGTGCCCAGTTGGTTATTAGTAGTAATCATTCCCACATGTTTCACTTCTCAGAAAGCCATTGTTTTAATTCTCAGAATGTTTTAGTGGTAAAAATGGGTAAACGTGGTTTGTATCTGGCAACTGGATACCTTAATGTGATGATATTTTACCATTTATGAACTGTAGGACCTGAGATGGAGTAAAACTGATGTGAGTCAACATTTTTTTTTTATTGCACACAAAGTGAGTGAGAGCAGTGAAGGTAGCTAGTAATTCTAGCTGTATGCAAAAAGTCTAGAACAAAGAAAACACCTTGCGAAAGAACTTGTATTTTAATCCATTGGTGAGTATATAAGGTGGGGTGGTAGGGGTTGGTTTGTTTGGGGTTTGGTTTGTCTTTTTTTTTTTCCTTGAATTTTTACTATCTAGAATTTTTAGGCAGAGCTGTTACTTCATTTTCTAGAACAAATTAACTCAGCTGCAGAACCTATTACCAATGTTAAATTAAAATTTAGGAAGTAGGTCAGTTACTACTATGAGTTTGATGTGCTTTAGCTTTGGGTATTGATATCTAACAACTTTTTTTTGTATTATTTCAAAGCAAGACACAGAACAAATCAGGTGTCCTGTTTGGAGACAGTTTTCTATCTGAGGACTTATCATGACATGTCCACAGTCTCCATTTATGTCTGTGCAGTTGTTTTGAGGAGTTTACCTTCAACATCAATAGAATAAATTATGCTTTAATGAGGTAAGCAGTTAGCACTAGAAGTTGCTTACAGGATGTGCTTCTAAAAAATACTTTTTTTGAACTTGAATATTTATAGAGCGTGATTGCAATTACAGCTGAATCCAGGTGGTTCCGTGCTTGTGGTTCTTCAAACTAGATTTCCTCCAATATTTTTATGACTGCTTTCCATTCTAGTTTTAAGACTTATAACAAGAGTGTTCATCCTGTAATACAAGAATAAAAAACAACTTTGAGAATTTCTATACTTATGATACTCTTCTAAAGCTGGGAATAAGGAGCCTTGGTTGTTCCCAGGTTTATCATTGCAGGATAAGCATTGTTTGTACTTCTTCTGACACCATCCCAGACTGACTTTGGAAGTAAGTATCATGTATTTATCACAGCCTTTCAGTGTCAGTAGGAGTGAAAATACTGTGGTCGTCGTTACAGTTTTACTTCTGTCTATTATCCCTTAAAGAGCTGTACAAATGAATTTGTAAACTGTTGTTGTATTTTGTACAACTCTTAAGCTACCTGGTTCACTCTGAAATCTTGTTAAAGCCAGTTGTATGTGTTGGAATGGATGATAGGCAGTCTTTTATTTTCATTAGCTCAACAGCAGGCGTGGACCTGGACTTGGTTGAGAAACAGCTTGGGGATTTAAGCTTTTCCAAGTCATTGTCTTTTTAAAATGTTGTGCAAATGAGTTTATTCCTGATAACTGTCAAGAGACAGTCTTTAATAGACAAGCTGGGTTGCTGCTGGTTTACGTACAGCAAGGAAGGCAGGAGTACAATGATGTCTTTTGTGGTAAAAAGCTTTTATGGAGAATTACAAGATCCTTAATTATTTTATATATAGCTACTTTGAAGGAAGTAATAGCTACGTAGAAAACAGTGGATAAGATTTTGAAACCTGTTGTGCAAAACAGCATGTACTGATTAAAAAAGATATGTTGTCAAATGATAAAATCCTGTGCTTATTTCTACATTCACAATGTTCATCCTTTGCTTGCTAGCATTATTTTAATATGTAATTTTGCGGGGGTTAGCTATTAGGGTAACCTTGTTACTACAGTCCTTTTGTAGCTACTTCATGTAGGGATTTAAGTGAAACAGAAATTAATGCTTCCTGGAAACTTACTTCCTTACTTGGCTTCCTTGATAGTATTTATATTCTTCAAGAAAATCATGGATGAAATGGTGCTCTCTTTCTGCTGACAGCACTACAGCTGCTGTGAGAATTAGGCAAAGATCCATTATGTGGCAAATGTAAAATTCAACCAATTTTTTTTTTTTCATTATTTATCACCTCAAGGGAGAATCTAGTACTTGGTCATCTTCAACAGAGTATTGGTCCCTCTAAAGGAGTGTTTCTTCACCCAAGCTAAAAATATTGACCAGTATGATGCCAGTGTTTCAGTGAGGAGCTGATGCAGAGGGGGGAATTGCTGCCTGTGAAGCATCAAAGGGATTGTCTTGCACCTTTACCAAGCAAATGCTTATATCTTGCACTTTTGTTCTCTGTGGATGGGTAAAGATTGATGCTCTAAGAGTCTTCTAGTAATGTAATCAAACAACATTTGCAGCATTGTCTTATGTGCAAGTGTTACAAATGATGAGGTTGATTTTCATACAGCTGTTAAACCAGTGCTTCCAGTTCCAAAGATCAACAAGACATCTCTTTTTAATCCTATATTATTTGGTCTGTTGGAAATGAATTAAAAAACTCTCTGAATGAATTGGTTGGACTAATTGTTAGTGTTGCAGCCAGAAGATTTTATGTATTAGTCTCCTGCATCTTAAGATAGTAACAGCATATGAAAGTATGAGTGAATTAGCAGTGCTGTGTTTAGAGTGGAAAGGGTGAACTCCAGAAGTCAATCCTTAGATACAGCTGTACTTGCTAAGATGCTGTGAGTAGCACTCAAGTTTTAACACACTGTTTACTATAAATGTGAGCAACTGAAGTTACTTTTCTTGCTAAATTTACCTTTTCAAACAGAACATATGTTGTGCCAGTACCTTATATAGATAGGCAGCTATATTTAAATTGTTCCATTGTTTCTGCTTATTAGAAAGGTAAATTTGACAAGTATGAACAAGTTAATGCTAAATCAAGGGGAAAGAAAAAAAAAAAAAATCTCCTCACCAAGGATAATTTAAAGACAAAACAGACTTAGATTTTGCATAAAGAATGCTGACCAAACTGTAACCAGATAAATTCTTCACTAGATCACACATATATCTCTGTGCCTCTAGGCATTCTTAATTGCAGGCTTATTGATATACTGTATGTTCACTATTTAAATGAAATACACCCAAGAGTTGGTAACAACTTGAAAGAGGTAGCATAATTGTGGTATGTATAGCCCTCAATTGTTAAGTACACGAGAGAAATTTGTTAGAAGGCAGTCCCCGGGTAATGTCAATGTCTGTTCCTGGAACCTTTTTCCTAAGGCATATTTGAAGCCTATTAATAATCCTGTTCTCTGCATTTTAATGAAGTGATAGCAGCTTGGGTCAGCAGTAGAGTGTGTTAGTGTTCCTTCAGTTCTCTCCGCTGTCTTTATCCTTTCAGTATTACTAGCGACATCCCCTTTTTATCCAATTGTCATCTTTCTTATTGTTATTAAGACCCAGATTCTCAAAGGATTCAGCTTTCCAATTCTTAATAAAATTAACAGGAACCAAGTTCTGAAACAATAATTTAAAAGATTTAAGCATTTTGAATTTCAACCTATATGTTCAACTTATGTGTATTCCTGATTTAGTCCTGCCATAGCATTCATATATGCTAAGTATTTATTACCTTAATGCTTGCTATGTTCAAAATAGGTATCTAGTCTTCACTTACCATAGACGGCATTATCAATTAATTAGAAATGAACCTCTCCTTCCTTAAAATGCTGTATGGTTTATGAATTGAGTGATTCTTCCTAGTAAGACATATCTTGAGGAGAAAGCTTTTAAAGAGATTGTAAATGGACTTCATCCCTTTTATGGAGGGGAAGGTTGGTATATTAGGAGAAGATACAAATTCAGGTGAAGAGGTGCTTAACTTTTAAACTACAGATTGCTAGGTTGAGCTGTTATATTGATGTCCTTAAACATGTGACTTGGAATGATTATTTTTTAGATATTTGTTAATTTTTGAGGAGCATAAAGTATAGGAATATCAAGTTCTTTTACCTTAATCTTGAAGGAATGCCAGATGACAAGCAGATGGGTTTCACTAGTGGTGAAAAGAGAATCCAGAGTCCAAATTATTATTACTGTATCAAATTGATCCCTAGTTTTTTTTCCTGTGTGTACATACGATGGACATTCTCAATGGCAGACAGTTAATCAATAATAAGTTAGGAAAAATGACTAGGTACTAATAGGCAGTATATTTAAAACATTTATCTGTTGGCTCAACAGATGAATTTTAATTTTTTTCTATAAAGGAAAATTAAAGAAACCCTTAGGGTTTTTGTTTTGGTTTGGTTTTTTGTGTGTATGTGTTTGGTTTTGTTTGTTATTTGTTTGTTTTGTTGTTTTTTATTGGGGGGTTGTTGTTTTGGTTTGAGGTTTTTTGGTTTTGTTTTGTTTTTTTTTTTTTGCCTTCCCCCTGTGGGTGCCATCATACACGACAGCTCTGGTTCTAGAAGTTCAAGATTTAAAACAGTCTCAAAGATTTGCTGAGAGGGTTTTCTCTACTGAGAAAATCAACTAACACTATAATTTTTTTATGTAACTGCTTAAGCTCAGGTGAAGGCTTACGTCCTATGTCTAGGTTCACTGTAATTTTATATATGTGTTTAACTTCTTTCCATTTTCCAGCCAGTTAATTTCATGGATATTTCCTTGTTTTGTTCTAATATTTTTTTTTCGGTGAAAATTTATTTCACAGACCACTGGAAATTATTTATAATCATTGGATCAAATCCATGCCTTCATTATTTATTTATATTTAATTGTTTTATGATTGAGTATTATGCTGCAATTAAGGAGTAGTAACAGTTATTTTATTTTTTTCCTCAGTGAGATGTACAGACTGAGGTGATTTTTTTTGTTTGGTTGGTTTTCTTTTTTGCAGCATTCAGATTTAAGATACCTGAATGATAAGTACTATGAAAGTACAGCAATAATTGAAAGGTCAGTGGGCAGCTTTGATCAAGAGGGTATGTTTAGCTCATTATTTACCATGCAATATCTTGAGTTTTGTAATAGAGTCCTATGTAGGTGGTGAGTGCTACCTAACCAGTGCTCCTCAAAAAGTATGTAAAAACACTTTTTTCCATTTTATTATTTGTAGCAGCCCCAAATTTGCTTCAGTCAAACAAATGTGGTTTTTTGCAATTTACTGTAACAGTGAAGAAATCGTGGATTGAGGCATAAGAAAGAGGTGTTTCTGCGAATTACCTATTCTATTACTGGCACAGCATTAGCCAAGTGATAGATGAATCAGCTTGCTCTAGGCTTTCCTAATTGGCCAAATGTTCCTAAATGTTCTGCTTGGTTCATACTAGTGGTTCAGATGTGGGCAAGTATGGAGGTAGTTTAAAGCAACAGCAAAGCCCTAATACTACCTTCTGAAATAATCCTTCATGTTTAATATTTCTCTGGTGC